GTCCTCAAAGTTTCTTCGATTCATCGGGTCGAGAGCCATCGTTGGTATTGATTAAAACGGGAACGAATTCATTTGTGAACTTGCAAATTCATGGAAAGTTTCGCCAGGTAGAAACACGGACGGCCACAGCTGATAACGCCATGGCGAGGCACGTTTTTCCGAGACACCGACCGACCGTCCGACCGACCGGAAATTAAACTAACCGTCCTAACCGGCCTATCCCGCCCGCATTCTAAACGCAAGGAACGAACCCTCCTGTCTCGTGTTTGAAAATCTCTTCTACGATGTACTAGGTTCAGAAAAGAATACGGAATCGAACAACTTTTGCCATGATATGATTTCGAAATTTTCGTCGAAACGAACGATCCACCCGCTATAAAGTGTCATCGACCTCAAAAAAGTGGACACGAACGTCCCTTGAAACAGAATCGAGTGGCGTTAAAGCACGTTTACATGGAAACGTCTATCGTGTTCACGGTTTCGAAACAAACACTTGCCAGCGCAGCGCCATACAAACGGCTTTCTCTGCTGAATGTCCTGAAATTCCTATAAATGATGCCTCGCTATAGAATCGACGCTGCACACCGATAATGCATTAGGCCCTTAATTAAATTGATTCGATTGATCGGCGAACGTATTTGAAACGGCACACTGCTGTTGGACTCGCGGTAAGCTGCCAACGGTAATAGTCTCGATCGATGAAAGTGCTTCGGTCGGAGACCGTATCGTTTGTTGAGGAGAAAAAAAGGGAGAATAAAACGGAAAGAGATGATAAACGTTGCCGCATTCAAGTTTCATATAAAACGTAGAAACTCTCTACAGCTCGATTCATTCGTGTTCACAGTATTACTTCTTCCGTCGACTTTCAACGAATTACCTTTGAAAGATACAAGTTTGTTTTCTAGTTCGTTAATTGGCCTAGTTACGATAACGATGCGCGTTGGACGAGTATTCGTATCGAGATATTGAACGAAATAAAGATCGTCACGCAATTACAGGGATGGAATTGGTAATGCGATTATAACGAGTGTCGCTGTTACACCACGGTTACACGGTGTTATTGTCGAACGTAAATAATTCTTTGCGTTAAACTGTACAGAGATTTACACGCGGCTCGCGTACATACGTATGTATGTATACGTGTACACGTTTCCCGCGTCCCATCGCCATCGCTCCCGCTCGTTATTATTTGCTCCCGATTAATTTATTTATTCCGGTTACCATAGCGCAATGGAATTAAACTTTGTCGAAGGCAAATTGCTCGAATGCTAACTGCGCTCACACCGCGCGCGCCGCCTCTGCGGCCACCGCAGAGCCTAACGATGCGCTGCAATTGCGATTCTATTGACGGGAGACAGACCGATAATCTCGAATGCATTTACATTAATCTACGCGAACGATGATGCTTCGTTCTTTGTCTATTTTTCCCCGATGCTTTCCTCCTCCGCGACCCTACGCGTCTCTGCGTCGCGTGCAATCAAATTCGAAATATTCGAATCGTTAAATGAAAAGTGTAATTAAACGCAACACCAGAGATACGCTGCACCGCGATACATTACACTATGTATAGTCGACGCCGTTCGGAACCGATACTCTTGGTATATTAACCGATCTCATCGCGATATACCGTTATACGATTTCCCACGACGAGTATGGATCTACCGTTGGATCTGTATCGATCATCGGAACACTGTATCTCTTGCACCTACGGCTAATTGAACGAAGCAAGACAATGTCGAGAAGATGATCCCTCGATTGATTTACAACGGTACGAATCCCTTAATTCAAGGAAACGCGCATTATTTTAATACGGATGAAATGACGTTAATTGCTCGAATTACAAGAATAGTTTGCGCGGCATGAACAGAATCCGGCGAAATTATAGCGATTACTTCGTATACTTTCAAACATCTCATTAAAAATTTTTCGTGCCCGTCAACTCGTACAACGATATTACGGTCACCTCGTTAGCCGTTACAATGGATACGCCGCGCCGCGTCGCGTCGACGCACAATGATATTATACCCCGGAGAACCGCAATCCGGTTAAATAAAGCTCGTCTGTTTTGACAAACTCGAGTGCTCGAAATACAAAAATAAATAAACGGCACGAAGCCGAGACGAACGACGTTCGCGTAAAAATGTTCTATCGTTCAACAGCATCGAAGCGTGCCGCGACGAATTCGTTTCAATTCCCAGCGTTTTAATTAAAATGTCGTTTTGCGTCGAAAATAGTGTTAGAAAACCCAAAATGGCGACCGTCCTTGTGGCGCGGGCAGCGCGGCGGTGCGTTTCGCGAACGAAAGTTTAATCGTTCGTCGACGGTTAAACAATGTGAGAAAACGTTCGCGGGAAACTTTTCGACGATTCTAACGAACCGATACGAAAGAAACCAAGAGAGCCCACACTTTTAGTAAAACTGTCCACTTGTCTTCTCTTTTTCCGAAAACTGTTAACGGACTGGAAGAACATCGTGAAAGTAAAAGACGACTCGCCGACGTTATGAAAGCGCCGCATAATATTAGCATACATTACGCGTTGTACGAGGCATATCTCCATGATAGAGCGCATCAAATATCCTGAGACCGACTATTCGGAAGATCGATGAAATTTCGGGAATCTCTTCTCCTTGGTATCGCGCGTTCGCAAGAAATATCTTACTCGGGATTAAAATATGGCCCGGTAAGTGATCCTGATACAGCAGCGCGTATTGGAATAAATAGAAGCTCTCGGAGTGGCCGAAATGAAGCGAAAGTATTTCGAGTCGAAGAATGGAAAACGAGCAACGCGAAATTAATCGACTCGATGGGACTTCTCGTTTCGAAATGCTATTGGAACAACGAGAGTCGAGGCGAGGTTTTTGGTGTGAGCGAAAAGTCGTCGATAAGAGAAAGCGAGATCGGAAAGTTTCGCCTATCGCGAAGAAAGCGAAATGCCGTTCGGTAGTTGAACGAAAGCGATATTTCTGTGCTAGTATGTATCGACGGGAATTCGTGTATTTACTCTTTAGCTGGACGAACAAAAGTTTTTCAGGGTGGTTTGATAGAAGGAGGAAAAGCGCAGCGCGTACGAAACAATGAAACACCGCCGACGTCCGGGAAGCTTTCCCAACATTGCAGTCTCGTGTCCAGAAGAAAATTTTCGAGAGAAAGCAACCATCCTGTCCCGCAGACCCCCGTCTCGTTTAACTCATCGCCCTCCTATCCCGCAAGAGTCCATGGACCGCTCCTTTCTCATCTACATCCCCCTTTGCCGCTTTCTTCGCCCTTATCTCCAGCCCCCGCGACTTCACTTCTTCTCGGGGCGGTGAGGAATGAAAAATACTAAGCTCGCTGTTTGCTCGGTTCTGGCTTCGCGTGCCAGCTGAATTTCTTTCCATGCATTACGTACTTACTCCGGAAGGACATATTTTCAAGGGTTAAAGCAAAAGCCGGCAATTTCTGGATACGCGAGCTCGTTCAACGAACAGATCCAGAGTGTAATTTCCTTGGGCGGATCGTAGAGTTATTTTATTTTCGAGAGAAGCCCGTCCGCCGAACAATCGAGCCCGTGATGGTATTATACATATATGTATAAGAACGAAAAGAATAAGACCAGAAGGAAGAAAAAGACTATGGAAGAAACGATTATAGGCGCGGCCGGTGTAACAACTTAAACGAACTCCAAGCAGACCGTTTAATTCATCGAATTAAACCCCCAATTACACGAGAAATCGCGTTAGCTTGAAAAGTTTCCAAGGAAAGTGGCGAAGCCTTCGCGAAGAATTTCATTTAAAAACCGATAATTCGATTGTAGTCGGAACCTGAACTTTGATCAAACGGCAAAAAGTGTAACAAAGTGGATTTCATTAATAGACGTCCCTTTTTATGTCGCCGCGAGAATGACGTCGTTGAAATTTTCCTTCTTCACGGATGGTCATTGGTACTCGTGCCACGGTGGACCGTGGAAATTTTAATTAAATACGCTTTTTAAAACGAAAAAATTTCCGGATATATACCGGTCGAGTTGATTTGATTAATATTTTATACGCTCTCCATGGGAGCCTCGGACACCGACCACAGAAAATTACGACGTGAAAGACGCGTGTGCGCGCCACCTCTTCGCGTTCTAGGTATGTGTATATCAAATGTTATACGGTATTCTCTACCTAAAATTAGTATCGCGCATAATCCGGATAAACTTCGGCCGTGGCTGTGCAGCTGAATCGATCGGTAAACTGTCGCATCTCAATTAACGTACACACATTTTCACTCGGATCTCGTTCCAGAGCTTTACCGCAAATATTATTCGAATTTGCGATTCGCCGAAACTAGTGAAGTCATTTCCACCGACCCGCAGTTTCACCTCGCTATTCCACGATTAATTTCTAATTGCAATTCTAAACTTTGCGAGGTACAGTTTTCCAGCGTTTGATCTGCATCGGCCGCGCTAATCACAGCCTCGTTTCACCGGTATTTCCGTACGAATTAGGAACAGGTGTATCGGTCGACGATCGAAACTTGTTCCCATCCAGTAGAGTTGTCGTCATGGACGTATAATAACAACTAAACTGCTCGTTCGATCGAAAAGCTGTAAAATATTACATCGTGCTCTGGATCACAGATCACAGTTGTGCCTTTTCATTCCCTCTACCTTTCTGTTTCCCAGGCAACGAACACTTGTTTACCGTACCACGTCTCGTTAGAAAAAAACAAGTTGGTGATCGCAACGGCACAGTGGCTATCTCTTTCTAATTTTTCACACGATCCGAGCACGGGAGATATTGAAACCGCGTTGTCCAGGTATTACACGTCTATCGGTTCTCGACCGTATAGATTATAGATCGAAAGGACGATAAAACAAAAATTTAACATTGCTCGTTGCTCGCTTCAGGCACCTTCCAAAAATGGCGTTCGTTCGATAGACATCTGCAAATTAGAAAAACGGAAATCTGCGGACCGACATTCCGCGTCCGAACCGAATGACGAACGAGAGGCGATCGAAAAATTTCGAACACGCGACATGTCGAACAACTCGTGCATCTGCTCGCAGTGCATTCATCCGGTTTGCCCGAATCCCGATGCGGAACCGCCGTTCGACGAAGTGTCGTACGAGATCGGTAAAAACATCCTATCCGTGAAAATACCGAAGAAGGAGAGACAATTTCAGGCGGACGACTCGAAGAACTTACAGCAGAAGCTTAGCTTCGACTTTGATTGCCCGGACGCGAGAGGTGCGTCGCATTTTTTAAACAGGCACCGCGATACACGATGAACAGCGTTTTTTTTGTTGTTGTTTAGACCAGGAGAAATGCAAGATCGGTTGTTCAAAAGTTAACGTGATACCAGACCGAATACCACCACAGAATATGCCCGACGAGGAGATGTTTTCGTTGAAGTCCGCGAGACAAATTTTATACAACGACGACCTAAAGAACACGCTCGAAATTGAATTTAAGGCGCCACGAAATTACATTCCTCTGCCTGAATTCGGTCCACCGCCACCCATAATCGTACCGAAGCTGAAGGCCGTCTCGAGGAAGGGGAAACGTAAGATTAAAAGGAAGAAATAGGCGTCGCTTCGGTAAACAATCTAACACACGGTGTAAATATTATACATGTAACGAATCCCGCAGTCGGTTGCTATTCATTGCTTCGACGCAAGCCAGAAGAACGCGTGAATTATTAACGAGTCCTCGGTAGAGAGAAGAGCAGCAGAGTTTACCAGAGCGCAATCCCTCGATTAAACGAGAAAAAAAACTCGGTCAGAGTTTCCTTCGAGGTTTCGCTGCTGCTAGCCTTTGGATGTCCGCTGTTTTCAAGGAATCTGCCGCGTTTATCTCAACGTATAATGGAATAGGTTTGGCACAATATCGGTCCTCTTTAGGGATTTACGGATGTAGCGCGAGGCTAAAGCGTCCGCCACTTTGTCGTAAACGCAAGGGCAACTGGGAGAGAAGACCGAATAATGGAACGATAAATCACTACCGTTATATTCTTGCGCGTCTCGGGGAACGATAAATCATCGCGCGCACCGAAGGCATACGGACACGCCGGTATTAAACGTTTTCGGGAACGGGGGCTGGTGTCGCCCGCGATGCCAACCGACAGTCTTTTTAAGCCCGGCTTTAAGTTTCGCCTGCTTCGATGAATCGCGGGTATTTACGGGTAAGCGGTTTTGTTTGTGCTCTAAACGCGGAATAACGGCGGATTACACGAAAGAGAAAGGCAGATTGTCGTTCGTCGTCGTCGTCGTCGTCGTCGTCGTCGTCGTCGTCGTCGTCGTCGTGCCACTTCGTTGGTAGAATGGTCGGGAAACGAAATGGCACTGGTTGATGCGACGTCGAAGCCTGCCGTTTATCCATTTTCAATTCAGACGAAAAGCATGGACGTAAAAAGTTTTCACAAGAAAAAATACATGGACGAATTTAGCACAGCGTATACTAAACAAAACTAGTGCCGAGTGTAAGCCAGATTTTTTCGTCGATTTCATTGTACAAGGTGCGATGAAAAAATTTCTGGACTTCGTGAATACGTATAAGGACAAAACGAGGAGATCCTCTCTCGGATTAATAACAAATGATTCACAGATAAAGTACCTGAACTTTTTGATCAGACCTTGTGTCGAGAAGTCCAAGTATACATATAATCGAGCAGCATATAGAAAACTCGATGTCGTGTATACTAATTCGGTTTAACGTGTATTTCAGTACTTGAAATAAATTTTTCCAAACGATGGACTGCCCTTTTCTTACGCCAGTTTTTCCCCCAACGGAAGCCGAGTTTGCTCGTGCGTGTACAACGTTGATTCGTAAAGCTACGGCATCCGCGTTTTCCATACCACGCAACCGCGCATATCGCTGTAAACGCGAGTAGTCCTGTTCGTGGCAGCTAAACAGTCTCACCGCAGACAAGGATACGACGATCTTGATTGGCTTCGGTACTATAACGGTCAACGCCACGATTGCAGGTAATTATAACGCCTCTATCAACCATGTTCCTCGATGGGAACTAAACTGAAATTACGTTCGTAACCTTAACAGCCGTCCGTTACCGACGCTCGAAACGCAGATTTCTAATTGCGAGAAAAACCAATGACACGGTTAATCCGCGCGAACGATTAAAACAGCTAGTTCGAAAGTTCGCGTTCGACGATTACGAGACGGGTAGGTAATCTTGGCCGTCCGTTCGATAGCTACCGTCCAACGAAGACGTCCCAGGTTGCTCGAGGTAATAATTACGTAAGCCAGTAATTAAAACTTCTCTCCATCGAAGCGGGAATCCGTAATTAGAAATATAACGAGCTTCCCTGTACGCGCGATAACACTCGATATCTATGTAGTTGGGAGTCGAGCGTTTCGAGCAAGTATCCCCGCTAAGCTGCTTACGCGTTAACGATCATATGGTAGAGCACGCGTACACGACTCCCACGCGAAACCATCCGCCGAGTTGCCAACGGAAATCAGTCGATGTCGAATTTCAGTCGATGACCAACTATGTACGGCGACGATGGAGGCGAGCAACGTAGGCGAGAACACCGATCGCAAAAACCAGACGGAGCTAGCTCTCCACCTTCTTATCGGTGTCTCTGCGTTCCACCTTATAAATATTTATTATGCGCAAACAGAGAGGGAACAGTCCTGCCAGAAACCGCGCGACGAATTCGATCGTGAAAGCATTTGCTTGTACTTTAAACGATCGCCCGCGTCCCTGCTGTGCTGTATAATTCAGTAAAATTGAAATTTATCACCGAGCGGCGTGCATCGCGGAGCTGCGCGCGATCGAAACGCTTTTATCCTGCCATTTTACGCGTCGATCTTTCTGCACATTTCTGCGTCGCCTTCCGACGTTCAAAAGTACACGGAATACGCGTTCCGACCAAACATTTCCTTGTTGATTGCCCCTTGAACATTGATATCAGTCCGTTTTTCGTTATTTTCATGTGGACCGATTTCTGTTCCGTCTGCGGTTGAATCTCTAGAAATCTGACAGTGAAAAGTCCCTGGATCGTTGCCGATTATATTTCGCATCGAAACCGATATGCATAGGTAGCGAGTTTCGAAGAAGCAAAAAACTATTTTACCGACGGAAGGGACGAACATGTGCGCGAATTCATACATATTTGTATGTACGTGGGAGAGCAGAGATCCAAAGTGCTTAGAAACTCGAAAGCCGAGGGAAACGAAAGGAAACTCGATTCTATTCGATCCGGCACGTTGCATTGGCGGAGTCCAGTCGAGTTCAGTCGAGCCGAGCGATAACCAAGAACTTTATCCGAACATGAGATTTTTCGCGAAAAATACACCTCCCAGTGATTCCGCGGCGTGCCGGGAATACGCCGAGGTTCAATCGACGTTTGACCAGCCCGTAGGCGATACCAAAATATGTATACCGTAAATACGTTCGACCTTACCCTTCCGAATCTCACCCTCGCCTTTATCTGTTTTATTTGCTTCGCTTTTTACCGTTTCCCGCATACCGAGTTTGCTACGTGCTCGGGGGAAAAAAATGTTGGCTCGTTCGTTCCGTGTCGAAACGTCGAACGATCGCCACGCGACTACGAAACAGTTTGAAACTACCAAGGACCATCAGGTATTCTGCTGATCCTGGTCAGCCGTCAGTGTCGCATTTTCGCTTGGTACAGATTCGATAGTTATCGAAGGAACTTAACCGATAACTATCCTCCAACCAGCAAACTATCCACGGCTTCGAATCGATGTGTCTCGAGCTTTTCACCGATACCCGAGGGAAACCGCACGCACTTTCGGTTCCGTGATACAACCAACCTATGTAGGAATCGGCGTCGTCGCAGCGTTGATAATGTTGCCGGACAAATGTGCTGCTGCTGCTGCTGCTACTGTTGCTGCACGACGGCTGCAACGAGCTCGGATAAACAGATTAAACGCGCGTTCAACGAGTCACGCAGGTGAGCACCAGTTGTGTTCATTATTAACGTAATCGGGTGCACCTGAGCCACGCGCGAATACGTACCAACGCGATCGATTTACGCTAACGATCGTGGAACGTATCGATGTCGTTACACGTTACCCATCCAGCAGTTTCGACGGCCACGATACGCACGACACCGTGTCAATAAGCCGATGACACGCGGAAACGGCGCTGTAGTCTATCGAATTTATTACTATTACCACGAAAGAAACGTTGCTCGAAACGTTCGTCGTTCGAACGAGACTACAAGTCTACGCGAGACTAAAGCAGCCCATAGACGATACGATTCGTCGTACGGCATATGTTCGTACAACGCATCGACATTTGGGAATGTCCCGAAGCGATGCATGGGAGCCTTAACGGGATCCGAATTATCGTATTTCTATCTATCGAAGCAATGTTCTCTGTATTACTTCGATCGCTAGCCTTCCGAACGCGTAAACGCGAGACTACGAAAAATAAAGTCAATATTGTACCGGGGCGTAAAAACGATCGAATTACGTCCCAATTTTCCCTCCCTCTCTCTCGCGAGAGAACGAAATTTTCCGTCTCCTGACGCACACGGGGCCAAAGGAACGAAAATAGAGAGGAACTGTAAAAGGGGGTAGCTGCAAGATTCTTTCTTCTCGAGAGAACGAATGGTCCGGGATCTTACGTTCCCGTAATACCATAGGTCCCCCTCCCCCCATTTTCGCTCTTCGTCCTCCGCACCTTCGACATTCGTGTCCCTTACGATTCCCCTGGTTCTATCCGCGCTTCTAACCACTCGCTGGAGAAAGAAAGAGACGGCAGATTCTAAGCACGAGGGCTACATTTGCATTTCTAGACGCTTAGGTCCGAGCGGGGCGACGAGGCGCGGCAAGGCGAGTCGACGTTATGCAAATCTTAATTCGCCTCGCTGGAAAGCTCGTAAAATTACCGAGCTTTTCCGCAATAAAGCCTCAAATTACTTGCACGCCTTTGAACCCTTTCTCTTTAGGCTCCATCGGCGGCCCCGAAAAAAAATGAGTTCCCTGCGATCGCTTCGTCTTGATAACGGTTATGGTTAAGGGTAATCGTTAACAGGAGTGCCCCGGGGTTAAAATAAAATACGCGCGGGCGTAGGCTCAAGATTCCGGTCCCACCTACGTTGGCAAATTTAACTTTCATAATTCACCGTTAAGTAGCCGACCAAACGCTTTCGTTATTTCCACGTTATTTATTTCAATTCGCCTCGTTCGGTTGAAATTAACCCTTTGCGGTCGAAAAACTGTTAGCCAAAGTTATACGTATATATTGGTCGCTACAAGTGCCGCAACACATACGCATACCCTCAAGAATTGTCCTATAAATAATTACATTTTAATACAGTTTCGGAACATATATCATTCATTAATATAAGTGAAAAGTTACACCTCATAATTTCGTTCCCTTATAGGATTTTTCGAAATAGTCACCGGATATATAACCAGATTTCCGTCATCCATGCTGTAGTTTTCTATCGAAGTATACGAATCAACCCTTAGGACTTTCTCCACCGTTTAGGATGTCTTGAATCTCTTTCGGGATGTATAGCGCCAACACGAAACTCTGCAACCACTAGTTTACGTATAAATATTAAGCGTGTCATTGGAGTTTATTTATC